TTTGTTCAATAGCGATATCTGGAAGTCGCGAATGATGGTCAAATTATTCGCATTATTTTATTCAATTAGTAGGGCTTATTTCTAAATTAACGCATTGAGTATTCATTAACATATACATAACTAGTTGTATTGGTTTTTATTCTATGTCCAGTCTATAAAAATCATAAATAAAACCAGTGTATTAAGTTACTACATAACAGTTTTAATGTAATATGTAAATAACTCAAGTACATAAATATTTACTAAGATATTACCAGTTAACTTACTGCAAATTCTCGAATCGATATTACCTTTAGATCGAGTAACGATTTATTGATCGTTTACGTAGCGAGAGGCAGGATTTATTCGCTGTATATCATAAAATAACAACAACCTCTCGAATGTTTTGTAGTATTGTAAAAGGAAAACAGCATTAGGATATGTATGGCCGCTCGAATCGTGACCGAGTGTATGGCTACAACGCCGCCATTGGTCGGTTTGTTACCAGCCTGGAATACACAACCTTTTGTATTTATAACTTGTAACCTACGTGTTTGGACCACACAAATGTTTAGCTTTTTCATTTTTTTTTTAATTGAAAGGCAAAAGAACTATCGATACACAGACTCTCTTAGCCATACATTATGTTATTATTTGTGTAATTCATATTGGTTTATCCGTGATTTGTCAATAATTAAGGAACTGTTTCATAACTATAGACAACATTTTTGTTCTTTTATGTTAGAAAAACGTTTTCATCTTTAAAAAGTTTAACGCTGTCAAGGTACAAAACTGTAAGCTATATGAAGTAAAAAAAAATGTTCAGCTAACGAGATATTTTTAAATCAGAAAGAGAAAAATAGACGACTTTTGATTGATGTCTCACACGCATAGGCATCGAATACACTACCCTCGGGGTAAAGTCCGTCTGTAATCACTGGCTCGGTATTCTTGATTGATTTACTGTATTCAAAATGATAATCATGTTCAAAAACAACAAGCGAATCTCGCCCGTTCTACATTGTCTATAAGCGACGCCATATTGGATAAAAACATTTCCCGCCCGCAAATAAAAGATGGCGCGAATTTCAAGAGGGAATTCGAAAATTGCTGCGTGAAACTTTGCCTTTTTGATTGATAGATGTGATTTTTTGAATCTTTTCGTATAAAATAGATTAAACGGTAATTATTGTGTAACTACGATTAAACTAAGAGCGTGTGCATCTTTGACTGAACTATCGCTAAACTGTTTTGTCTCGCTTTGATTCTTATGAGCTTATATTGGGGAGCACACACTACTCAATTGTAGGGCCTGTCCCACCACTGACTGATAGACTCAGATAGCTTAAAAATGACGTCACTGTTAGATAAGAGAACAAAATTCGATATTTCTATCACATATTTTACAAGTTGGATTGTTATCAGACAAATTAACATTTTGCAACAGCTTACCGTTTTCTCAAAGGGCGGCAATGCATCTGTAGTTCCTCTGGTGTTGCGGATATCCATGGACGTCGTTAATCCCCTCGGTATTCCCGCTGCTCGTTTGTCTTTTTGACTGACTTCCCAAAAGGAGGTACTCAATTCGTCTGTATGTTTTTTCTTTTACTAAAAAAATACTTCGTAATACTGAAAAAACGCGTTACGAATGAATTTTAAACTTAAAACGACTTAATTATAACCTTAATTTACATCTAATTAGACACAGAACTTAAAATTGATTAGTAAATATGTAATACAAGAAAATAAGTAGGTAGTGTAAAATAACCTTATTCAGAATAGATTCTATTGGACGGAAGGAAGTACATTAACTACGTAAATAATTAAAGATACAGAAGTACACGGAATCACTTACATAATGCGACAGTAACATAAAAGACCTGGAATAGCAAATGTAAATTACAACTTTGATGCAGTAATTGCCGTATTCTGTAATGGCGGTCCTAGCATGTCATACTAGGTTAGGGTTTCAATATTTAATCGAAGACATCGCCGCCATGTTGTGATTGTAAAATTCTTGTCTTACATGTATCGGAGACAATTAAATAGGAATTATTTATTAGCAACTAGTTTAAATTTTTCAATTTAATGACAATTACATGGCAAGGAATTGAAAATTGTCCCTATAATTTTGATAATTGACGCTTATTTTGTACTACAAATATCTGTTACCAATTTATAAAATTCTAGCTTTTTTATATAATAAAGTGGCAAAATAACAAACGACAGTGTTTTATACTTTTTTATTTACTAACAAAAACGTTCCATTTAAAAAAAAATCACCTTTTTTTAATTTGAAAATGTATATTTTGAAAATTAAAATCATGTTAAAATTTAAAACCATAAAGTAAATAACTTTTTCCAGAGGCTTAATTTTATTTCTCTTTCCCCTCATAAAGATGGCAAGAGAATTAGATTTGATGTTGAAGGCGCATAGGAAGAGGAAGTATTCTTTTTTAGGCGTCCTCTCCTCCGTCGATTAAAGGTAGGTACAAATCTGCATTTGGGAATGTTAGGGGAAGCGGTAGCTTCGCTGTTTCGGCGAATTCTTGTTGGCGGTTTCTCACCTGACAAACTACAGGGCTTAGAAATATACATACATAGAGATTTTTGTTACTGTGTAAAGGTTGAAATAAGGGACAAACGTAAATTTTATACTTTTAATTTCCACGTAGACGAGTCGCGAGCAACAGCTATAGTATAAAAAAGACAAAACACAATCTTTTACTTCAGTAAAGATAATTCGGGTAAATTTTTTACTGGTGTCTTTGCAAATAAAACAAATAAATTATTTTTTAAAGTTTATTTCTGTAAATTAGTATACAATAAATGCGTATATAAAATTTCTTAATATTAATAGGGTACAAAATTTACATATAAAAAATCAGTGCAAAAAATAAAAAGCTTAAAAACATAATAGTCACTAACTCCTCAGTCGTAAAAAAATTAGTAATATTAAATAGACATGTAAAATATGAAATACATGAAACTGGTAATTATTGAGTATTACTTTTATAAAAATATAAATAAATCGTGATAATTGAATTTCACAACTATAACATGCTAAACACTAATATGATTATCGTTTAATATTTCCTTTTGACAATTTAACTTTATTTCTTTATTAAAAATGATTAAAATATAAAAATTGCGCTTACAGGTTAGTCAGTTCTATTTCTGATAGTCCATTTATTGTAATTACATTTTTATAGGAGGTATACTCGGACATCTATATGCCCTAGGGGTTAAATTCAGAGGGAAAAGACTAACCCTAGCTAACAAAAAATAAAACAGCGAAATAATTATAAAAATAATACTGAGCGTTTTATTTTAAAGCTGTTAATGTGTTCAAGCTCTTAAAGAACGAAGAAGTAGAAAAATAGCATAAATTTAATGATTAAAGTGTTTTGTATCATTCTTCTGCATTCAACAAACATAAGCTTTATCTACTTTATCTATACTGATATAAAGAGGAAAGATTTGTATTTTTGTATGTAATGAAATAACTCAAAAACTACTGGACTGATTTCAAAAAATCTTTCACCATTAAAAAGCTACGTTATCAGTGAGTAACATAGGCTATGTTTTTTTACATCACGCGGATAAAGTCTCGAGCAACAGCTAGGGAGAAATAAATGCATTTCTTTCTATCTAAAAAAAAAGATTTCCACTGCCCTTACACTTGCATTAAGTAAGTCATTCATTATTCTTGACATAACAAACAGACGAATTGATAACCTCCTTCTTTTGGGAAATCGGTTAATAGAGGGCGACCACCTTTGACTAAACTATCGCACAACTGTTGTGCGATTGTCAATTGTTTCGCAGCTTTCAACTGTTTAGTTGCACAACTAAAAACCGAGTAGTATGCACCTCCATATAAACTCATAGGAATCAAAGATAAATAATTCAGATAGTTTAAGTGTGTGCGCTCTAAAAGAGACAACTACAATATGCATTTGTTATGACAGTGAAAATCTACGGTTATAGGCACAAACATTAAATCTTATTTATACTAAAAACTACGTAAAATGGAAGTTTATCAGTCTATGGGTAACAGTATATAAATATATGTGGACTGTTTAGTTTGAAATCCTTTGTAAAGAAAGATTTCAACAAAATGCTCGGTAAAACAGTCCTATAGAATTAATTAATTATTTACGGCTTACTCACGTTTTTTTTTCTTTTTCCGGTGACGGCACCGACCAGTTTCAGACCCTGCGGGGGTCCTTCTTCAGGGCGAGGGTTAAGTATGTGTCGCGTTCGCGTCGCACCTCGCACGCGAAACTGGTCGGTGCCGTCACCGGAAAAAGAAAAAAAAAACGTGAGTAAGCCGTAAATAATTAATTATAAAATGTCTCACGAAAGTTTAAATAATTTAAGTCCTATAGAAATATATAATTCAAGTAAAAGCTATTTTATAAAACTGCACAATACTAATAAAATATATTAAGGGCCTGTCCCACCAAACTGTAAATTCTCTGATAACAATCCAACATATAAAATATGTGATGGAAATATCTGATTTTATTCCCTTAACTGACAGTGACGTCATTTTTAAGCTATCTGAATTATCAGCCAGTGGTGCGACAGGCCCTTAATCTCATGGCTTAATTATAAATATAAAAATATTTCAACACTTCAATCGCCATCTTTACTTTATCAAATTATGAAATAGAATGGAAATAGTAAAATATTTTTACGCAATATGAGGGCTTTTTTATTCTTAAACAAGTTATATATAAAAAAATCAGTAAATATTTAAATTATATAGTAAATATCTTGAGATATATGTCTGTTAAATATATTATCTGTTAGAAGCACCTTGATTAGATAACTAATTAATATTTTAATCTATGTGGTCAATTGACTGGTTTATCTATACTAGTATTATAAAGAGGAAACTTTTTTATTTTTGTATGTATTGAAATAACTCAAAAACTACTGACCCGATTTTAAAAATTCACCGTTAAAAAGGTTATTTATCTGTGAGTAACATAGGCTATAAGTTTTAATTTCACGCGAGTAGTCGCGAGCAATAGCTAGTGTCACAAAATGCGATTTTTAACATATTTTATAGAGATTCCAAAAAGATTTGATGTCAAGTTATAGTCCAACAAAGATATCTGAACCGGTGGGCATAAGTCAAACTAAATTATTACAGCTGACTAACCTAGCAAATATCCTTGTTAGACTATACATAGTTTTCACAAGACTATCAAAATCATTAACTACATTCATACTATAATACTTTTAAAGTTAGTTTTTTCAAGTAATCATCATTAAATCAGAAGCAAATTATTTAAAAAAAATATCCATCTGCTTATTATAAAATTATTGACATATTACTTATAATTAAAAAATAATATCATGTTTGTTCTAAAACAAATGACTAAAACACTTTCAAAAACAATTCTGTGCGTAAAATAAAGGATTTGTTTACAAAATTATCGTTTACAGTCAAGGAAATATATTCCCTACCCATGATCGAAAATAGTACAACAAACTGTAAACATAAGAGGTATAGTTTAGTAAATATGTTACGATATAATTGCATTGCGATAATCAAATATTTCATTATGGGTAGGAAATTTTCTTCCTCGTACACAAATTAAGCAATACAAATTAATTGTTTCCCATCATCCATTTGGAACTGGACTTTATCGGAATTAGCAGCTTTGTCCGCGGACTTTGATAATGCACTGGCCAGGAATATTTGAGCCACTCCCATTGCTGCTACGAAGAATGCCCAGCCTTGAAAACAAAAAATAACTTAAATATAGAAAAAAACACATAACAGTGAAATATGTAATACTGTTTTCTTTTCTATACTAATAAAAAGAGGAAAAAATTGTTTTTTTTTGAGCCAATTTTAAAAATCTCTTCCACCATTAAAAAGCTATGTTATCACTGAGTAACAGAAGTTATATATGTACAATATTATTAATTAGAAATAACTAATATAAAGAGGTATGATTTTCATTTTTATGTTTTTATATGTATTGAAATATCTCAAAAATTACTGGGCCAATTAAAAAAAAATCTTAAACCATTTAAAAGCTACGTTATTGCTGAGTAACAGCTAGTCTTCCTAATATTATAAATGCGAAAGTTTGAATGGATGGATGTTTGTTAGAGTGTGTAGCCTAAACAGCTGAACAGATCTCGATGAAATTTGGCATAGTTATAGAACATAGTCTGGAAGAATACATAGGCTACTTGCTTTTCTTTTTTTAATTCCACGCGGACGGAGTGACGAGCGCTACTTTATAATAAAAAGTTCGAAGGTGGTATAGGATCCAGAAGAGAAGGCATTTCTTTAAATAACAATAAGGAATGGTTTATATTATTTTTATACTAGCTTTCGTCCGCGACTCCGTCCGCGTGCAATTGAAAAAAAATTAAGTAGCCTATGTGTTATTCCAGACCATACCCTACATCTACGCCAAATTTCATCGAGTTCCGTTCAGCCGTTTAGGCTACAAACTCTAACAAACATCCATCCATCCAACCATGCATCCATCCATCTAAACTGTTGCATTTATAATATTAGTAAGATTGAAAAAACTCACCAAGTGAACAATCTCCTGGTAAATAAGGCTCCGAATTTTCACCACAGAGTTTTTTAACTTTCTGCGAACCCCAACCCCACGGATACAGCAGAAGTCCTACCACACCAAATAAACCTGAAACATTTATACCAAGTATATCTATTACTATCTATTTCCATTAAACCAATACAAAATTATTTTAAAGTGATAGAGATAAAAATTCTATTGTACAGTTAGCTACAAAAATATGTATATAACTTTCGCCCGCGACTCCGTCCACTTGGAATTAGGAAAATACAAACCGTTTAAAATACAAACGCTAACAAACATCCATCCATCTAAACATTCGCATTTGTAATATTAGTATGAAAGTATGATTGAAAAAACTACAGAAACTTGTATATCCCATAGTTTTCAATAATATGTATGTATGTTAGAATTTGTTTGCTTCTGAACATGAGTACATGCACTACTGATGAATATATGAAGGAGTGGAATAAGTCGCCGGCATCAGTGTTCCTTTCAAGAGCAATGTGAATCGGTACTTTCTAAACTAGCGCATGCCATCATTCAACCACATCTTTACCTTGGTCTAGGTGGGATAGTGGTCAAGCGGTGGTTTTGCAATTTAAAAAAAAATTTATATGCATTATGTATTGTTGGAAATGAAGGACTATCCATATTTTATCAACTTTGGAAATGTATAACATTTGTGCAGCTAACTGCACAAGTATTCTTGCACTCCATACTCACTGCTATTTGCATTATTTGTGTACTATTTGACTGAATTTTAATGAGATTATCAAACAATCATTATATATAACAACACATACAGAATCACTTAAAAAATCCAAAGTATCTTACCTCCTAGAGATTGAGTGGCACCAGCAAGTGAGATCACACTTTTCTTAAACACAGACTGCACACAACATGCAAAGATTCCAGCCAGCACAGTTGAGAATTGTATTGCCGCACCTGAAAAATAATTAAATCATGATTATAGCTTAAAAACAATCATTCTTCACATTATAAATGTTAAAGTTTAGATGGATGGATGTTTGTTAGAGTTTGTAGCCTAAACTGCTGAACAGATCTCAATTTAATTTAGCATACATGTAGAGGATAGTCTAGAACAACACATAGACATTGGTTTTGTTTTTTTTTAATACTATGCGGACAGATTGCATTTATTAGAATTTGATATATAACAAAGTAGCAGATTGAAGTATCCTTAGCCAAGGATTTTGAAGTTCTTGATTTGAGTATACATTGATACACAGTGTCATCCAAACTTAAAAGTGGCTCAACATTTTAAACAACCAATCATAAAATTTCATGTATGACCAGGTTGTAATGGAATGCAGGTTCAAGACACACTCATATAAATACAGAATGCACAAAGAGATTTAAAAAACATAGAGGATGTATAATTCACACTTCACTTGAGATATTTTTTACACAATCTCACAAAAGCTACCTGTTGTAAAATTATTTATTACATGGCTTGTCCATAGCATGAAAGAATAAAAAAATATTTACTCACATAATGATAAAAAGAACATTGCAGCTTTCCAAGGTGTTGGATATATAGTTGAGTCTGTTGTAAGTCCATAAAATGAAAATGGAGTACAACTGTTGTCATCTTGGACCATTCGTATGCAACTGGAAAAAACAATTATTTCATTTATTTTTTTTTTAAATTATGTGAGTAACGAATAGGGCTAAATACCAGTAGAAACGGGATAGTACTTTATAAATGTATACAAACCGATTAGAAAGCCCTACAGTGGGCACAAAAAATCCAGTAATATTGTTTTCATTTGTGACTATAGGCTGGCCTAAAAGCCATTTAGGAGTCACAATACCAGTAACTATTAGCATAAACGCTGCTACGCTTATTAGTAACCAAGCCAAACTGCGACCGGTTATTATCACATAACACATTGTGTATGGCTTGTATACTAAATGTTTACAGCCAAATAACAATTCATAAACTTCCGAATTATGATCTTTCTTATTTTGAGAAAATAAATAAATAAAAAGGAACAGATTGGTCTGTATTGTTGTTGTTTTTACTTATTTGACATATCTAAAATCTGTTCTGTAGTATAGAACTACAAGCATCTTTTGGCATGTTTTTCACAGTGACAAGAGAGTGCTCACGAGCAAATAGGGATATGAGTAAGGTGATATTTCCACATTTTTAGGAAAATCTCTTTTTAAATACAAAACCAAACTATATGTCAACGATTTGTAACTAATAACCAGAGTGCCCGTGACAATTGTTTGCCGTTTAATTGATACGTCTTCACAAATTGTTACAGCTGTAGGATTATTCAAGCATTATTCTGGAATTTCGGATATATGAAAATGACGACTTTCACCCCTTTCTCTTCTTCTTCTTCTTTTAATGTTTAGTGGACCCCATCGTTAATTTGTTGCCGTTCTCTCTTTGGTAAAAATACAAAGCTTTCAAGATGACATTATTAGTTCACAAACTTGCGTGATGCTATATGATCCTTGTAGACCTATATTTGTCAGAAGCTCAGAACAGAACGTCAAGTTTTCAAGCAATGTAATGTATGAATTTGGAATGAATGGAACGTGCAACAACAATTACAGATAATGTAAAAACGTTTACGTTTTGGTTTGTAAGCTTTTATTAATTTAATTAGAATAGTGTTATTTTAATTATAAACTATGATTTAAAAAATCACGAACGTTCATTTTTACAAACTGACATCAGTTTTAATCTTAAAAATTCCATAATATACAAAGTTGGGATTTATAGAGTTGTAAGATAAACTTAACTTTCGAACCTTGACTCGAAGGTTTTAATATTCCAAGCTCCAAGAGATGCTTGAAAAGAAAAACTTCAAAATCTTATTTTTCAAGCTACAACACTTGGAATACCATCGATTTAAATCATAGACAGCCTTGCTTTTGTGTCGTCAAATTAATTATATGTTGTATGTATGTATATTTTCTTTTTTCATCGACGATACAAGTGCGTGGAATGGTTTATAGAAACAAGGCCTATTGTTACTTCATTTAGCAGTAATGAATCTTTATTTTGCAAAAATATCAACTATTATTGTATAAAAGTGTTAGGAATCTAATAATTTGATGTGTCGTGCTATATCTCAAAGTGAAATGTGGTCGATGACAGTGTAAAACGGTGCTCGCTACGTAAGTATAATTGTGCAGATTTAAATAGTATACACCTTCTTCGATCTGGAAGCAAATGCTATGGTATTTTTTATTCTGTCGTATTCGTTTTCAATTTGACAGATATATTCAGGTGATGTACATTTTGATAGTACCTCTGATTTTTGAAAGAAAGTAAAGGATACGACAATTTACTTAAAACAAATCGTGTTTTTGATTTGTAGTTTTCAATATAGTGCCATAAAGCGTTGTGAAAGAAATCGAGAAGAAAGGTTCGTATCAGATTTGTCAGGAAGTTGATAAAACATGTTTTCGTTTGCCCTTGTTGGTTGTGAAATCTCGATTCCTTTGTTATTCGTAAATCACTTTTACTTTTATAGATAAACGTCGTTAAATAATCGTAAATGCTTAAAAACTGACTATTTCTTCTATTTTTGGAATAATTTTTATTTATAGTACAAGTGAATTTAGTTTTAGAACATTGTAGTCGAAATATTAAAAAATCAGTTTACGCTAGACATCGTAATCCTGTTCAGCTGGTTTTGTTTATGTTTACGAATTTAGTTTTAATCAAATTGTACAATAAACCATTTAAAATGCATAACTTTCTGTTTTTTGTTTATAAAATGTTTTGTTGTAAAAAATATTTAATATTTACCATTTATAGTTGCCAGTTGCTATAAATTTGATGTCTTATGTGCTTAAAATAGAACAGTTGCTTAATAAATTTTACTGTAACTTTATTATCAATGTATTGACACTAAAATATTATTCTTGCAATGATAAAACAATAATAATTGTCTGTCTGTAACCCTGGGTTACTATTGCAAAAATACTTACATCAATGATTCCTACAAAGACTATTGTAAACCACAATTTTGCTATTTACATCTTGTCCTATGTCTTTAAGTAAATTAAAATACTAATTACTGTGTAAATGTAAAAGTTATGCAAGAAAAAGTGTAGATTTTGGTTGTCTATCTTGTTTATGATTGATGCATTTATAAGTTAATATAAATATTTAAATTTTTGTCTTGAAAAATTAGTGTCTCAAATCTTACTTCTTATTAATTAACTAGCTGTTGCTTGCGACTTAGCCTGCGTGATTTTAAAAATAAATAAAAATATAGCCTATGTTACTCATTGATATAATAGCCTTTTAATGGTGAAAAAAATTGTAATCTGTTCAGTAGTTTTTGAATTATTTCAATGCATACAAAAATACCAAACATTCCTCTTAATAATTTAATACAGAACATGCAAAAGTTTAGATGGATGGATGATAGAGTTGTAGCCTAAACTGCTGATCATATCTTTATAAAATTTGGCATAGGTGTATATTGTAGTCTGGTAGAACACATACACTTACTTTTTTTTAAATTCCACGTGGACAGAGTCTTAATTGAAAGCTAGATAACAATAACACAGTCATCAGTATGTAACAGCATTGTATATTTTAGCAATATATAGTATCTGGCACTGGAAATGGCATATTGAGTAGAAGAGATTATTCCTGACCCAGACTTGTTTGTATAAAATGAAATTTGTTTATAAATGTGTGTTTTTTTCCAGAGCTTGCAAGATCAGAAATCAAGCGGACCGTGAAGTAACCAGTATATGAAAAAATAAAATAAATAATGTTATTTTAAATAACATGCAACTGTGATCTCCGTTTTGTGACTAGTTATATTTTTATACTTGTGTATGAATTGTGGTGGGCTTTAGTGCAATTTGTTGTTTCCTATATATGAACAAGTGCTAAGAGGAGGATGAGTTCAAATAATTCCAATGCAACAGCATTAACAAGGCCACAGTTGCCTCTGCGGCAAATCGACTTAGACCAGGTAAGATTTATTCAATTATTAAATCCTTGTCTAAAAGAAAAAGTAATCATTACACAATCCATAGTACTATTGTCTAAATATTAAAACAAGATTTGAGAGGCATAAATGATATGTTCAGTCAAAATTTTTTACCTAGTCGTATTTGCAGCTTTTCAAATATATTGTAGTTTGGTTTGTTTAGCTTAAGAAAAATTTATAAAAGCTATTAGCCTTTTATACTTATTTAATAACTAACAGTATCTTAAACATATCAAACTTACTTAACACACTAAAAAATTGATTATTATAACATCTGACAATTTGTAAGTGGGGCATACAAAGCAAATTGTTTGAGATTTATTTCAGAATTCTCTTAAGAACATAGGTTCTCAATCAATCAATAGTGATAGTATTCTATAGAGTATTGCTATGATGCCAATTTGATTTTATATTCTTCAACAATATATTGCGCTTATTATAAAACTAGCTCTTCTGTGTGACTGCATTCACATAAAATATTTAATTGTTTACATGTGTTAAATTATCAATTGTAAATGTCAGAATGATATGACATGATGACAAACCATGTCAACCTTGCTTCCTTAATGTTGGCAGCTTGTAGTTTATGGTCCCTTTCACACATAGAGGTTTTTTCAAATTTATTTATCCTTCACATTTCATAGTGTAAAAATATATAGCCTAAAGCTTGTCGTAAGTGTAGGGCTTTTTATTAAAAAAAAAGTTTCAATATGCAGTGATTACTGACATCCTATGCCACAAAGTTGTGTGTGTTTACGCTTTATCAGTATTGATCAGTTTGATATATTAGAAATAAAAATATTACTAAGAAGCTCTTCTGAAGTAATATTGTAAGAAATGTACTAAATAGTCAAAGAACTACTGTTGAATTGAAAGGCATTTATTGCAATCTATATGAATGTAGCAAAATTCCTCCTACAATGTTATTATTTTACCAAATATCCTAAATTCAAAAAATATTCCCTTCAATTACATACATTTAACCAATGTTTTTGAAATCGTATATATAGATATTTTATAAATATTATATACACATGACATGTAGATATTTTATAAATATTATAACAATGTAAATTTTCTGTAAGATATTAGCTAACCATACTAGAAATATGTGTTTTTTCTCTCGCCAGCCGAGACGTGTTATTGTTTCGTTTCGACCTGGTTGTTTTACAATAGCCCCTTTATATTCACGCGACCCACTCATGTAACGTTATTTCTCATGTCCTTAAACCGCTTTATTTTTCGTTCAGAATATTCCTGTTTGTAATAAATGTATTATTTTCGGCAATGCACCAATAGTGTTGTTTCAACACTCGTTTCTCCAAGTCTATTGTAATATCTAGAAGGATAACCCAACTAGAATTGATCTACAGATCCGTTCACGTTTGTCATGCGTGAAGCAGATCTTATTGATTCAAAGTTTGACGCTATTTAAAAAACATCGTAGTTTTATAGTTATGATGATTTTGTTTGTCCATCAAGCAGCTTCATAAATTGTTTCTATTCAAAATAATTTCTTATTGTTATCACACAAATTAAAATATAAACAAACACACTTGAATAAAGAACATCACTACTTTTGTATATTGACACGAAAGTTGCACTGTTGTGTCGCTAAACGATGTAACTGTAAACGTTTTCGTGTTTCTCGGTGTCTGACCCCGTGTAGATTGGTTCTGGTATAATTAATATGCATAAGATAATGCTTAACGTTTTTATCTTGATTCATCGATCAGCTAATAGTGAGGTGTGATTGTTAATCGAGATATCGATAGTCGATTAGATCCCCTTAATACCAACATTAGACAAAGGCAACTAACTCATATGTCACAAATTACAAGAAATAGGTTTAGAATTGTATATAAATTGGGTTATTACACCAATTTTGTCAAATGTGTTTCTATTTGTTATTGAAAACAACAGTCGTTAGTACATAGTTTCCTTCTGTCAGGATCTCAAGGACCCTCGAACATAATCGAACCCAAATACTCAAGACAGATAGGCAATCGCCTTTTATTCTTATCATCGTATAGATACCAATGTAACTAGTAATTTAAGAGTGTAAAGGTGG